CTGGGTAATGGGTATTTATTCTTGACCGTCATCTTGTTCAATTTCCGATAGTCAATACATAATCTTAGCGACCCATCCTTCTTTTTCACGAATAGAACTGGAGCTCCCCATGGTGAAGTACTATGTCGGATAAATCCTCGATCGAATAATTCTTGCAATTGGACTTTCAACTCCTTAAGTTCCTTTGGAGCCATACGATAAGGTGCCATAGAAATAGGTGAAGATCCTGGATAAGTCTCAATCTCGAACTCTACCTCTCTATCAGGAGGTAACCCAGGCAACTCCTCCGGAAAAACATCAGGAAACTCGCTAACTGTACGAATCTCCTCGATCGTGGACAATGCACCTTTGGTGTTCAAAATACAAGCAATGAAGGTCTCATATCCCTTTCGGATCATACGATCAATTTCCATCGCTGAAACTATATTGGAGAGATAGCCACGCCGTTCCCCAATTAACACAACAGTCCGACCATCTGAAGTCTTCAGAGTAGCCCGCTTGTATTCGCAATCCAGCTTTACCTTGTGTTTATTCAACCAATCCATTCCAAGAATTAGATCAAACTCCTCTAGAGGAAGCTCCATAAGATCAGCGAGAAAAATTTCTCCCTGAACCTCGAGAGGGCAACACCGAAATACTTTATTCACTAATACTGCTTGTCCTACTGGACTCGTAACTGTAACAGTATTTTCAGTGTTCTCTATCGGAATCTGAAGGTTTCGAGATACTGAGCTCGATACATAGGAGTGAGTGGAGCCATTGTCCAGTAATGCAAAGTATGGGATAGAATAAATAGTAAATGTACCTGCAATAACCTCAGGCTCATCTCTGTCATCACGACGTCTAGTTGCATAAACCAAAGCTGGCTGTCTAGCCTCAGAAGCTGTTGGCCCTCTATTTTACTGAGGTCGGGCTCTACTGTCTGTCCTGGACGCTGATCCTCGAGTCTTTCCTTGACTACGATCTCTAATTGGGGTCTGTACTGTAGTCTGCGAACGCACAGGAGTTTGGGTAGTGGTCTGCTCAAACGAAACTAACTGAGGACAATCTCTCCGATAATGACCACTAGATCCACACTGATAGCAAAGACCCATCTTCTTACGACACTCTCCTGAGTGTTGTTTACCACAATACTCACAAAGGGGCCCATTATAATACGACGAGGAACCTCCTCGACTGACAGCTAAAGGTGAGGATGCTGCAGGCCTGAAACGTGTATTGCTTCTCTGAGGAGCTGAAGTACGAGTCCTCTTTCCGGACTGTGCTGATGACTCCATCGGGCCTGAAAATTTCTTAGATCGATCTTGATCAACACGCTCTCTACCAGAAGCTAAAAACTCCACCTCTTCCGCATCTTTGGCTCTGCCCACCAGCACATCAAATATCTCATCCTGATGGGTTACAACTTGCCTACGCAGCTCGTATCTGAGTCCAAGGGCAAATTTACGACATCGATCTCTCTCCGTCGGTACCATACTGAATCCATACTTCAGCAATTTCAGGAACTCGATCTCATATTCAGAAACAGTCATGTCTCCCTGAGCCAGGTCTTGAAACTGTTGTCGTCTCTGAGCTAAGTAGCGCTCTCCCAGAAAACGGCTCCGAAAGCGATCCTTAAAGAAATTCCAGGTCAAACGATCGGTAGGAACACTACTGGTCACTGACTCCCACCAAGTGTAGGCATTGCCATCTAACATCGCCACAGCACCCTGATATCTCTTAATTGAGTCCAAACCCAACTGATCCATGCGTCTCTCTGTATCCTGGAGCCAATCCTCAGCTTCAGTAGGAGCTCCACCTATCTGTCCCCCAAAAGTTCTAACTCCATTGGCAATCAAAGTCTGCGAAATAGGAACCTCAGATACAACACCAGCAGCTCTGACTGCTCCCTGTATCAACTGCAGAAATTGTCTACCAAAAGTCTCATCCAAAGCAACTCCGGTAGATTCTGACTCAATATCTGTCGCTCCTATGATCGGTGTAGTCATGCCAATACCATCGGTAGGAGGCAGATTCGTTGGGGTCGTAGGAGCAGGATCACCTATCGGAGGTGGGGGATCTACTCGTATCTCATCGATCGGATCTGCAAATCTAGCCACTCGACCTCGTCCACGGCTAGTTCGACGACCACGTCTAGCACTCATTTTGATGGATCTCAAGTTTACTACAGAAGATAAAACTTAGGGTTAGATAAGCACTTTGAGTCTCAAACATAGTTAAAATCTTAATAACTTTGTGACATGGCCTTAGTAACTCGTTTTGTAAAATATTTCAAAACCGTATTTTCAATGTGGACTCATACACAGTCCGAGGGTTAAAAACCAAAAGCTCTGATACCAATAAATGTAACCCCCTAGACCCGGCCTATGCGTTTCGACTAAGTCTAGTGGATCACATTATAATTATTAAAGACATTTTTCGCAACCGTTATTCCATCAATATAAAATCACATTATAAAAACATGAAATTATAAACAATTTATACTATCAAAAACCAACTCGTAAATATAGTACAAATAAATAATAATTTAATTTAAAACATGTCTTCAAATTCAAAATCACAATAAACCGAGCAGTAGTAGCAAAAGTGTTATCATTATAAAATCCGATATTTTAAAATAAGGTCCATGTCACCAAAATAAAGTAAACTTGCCAGATAAAAACATTACAATCTGATTTACTTCAAGAGATATGTTGATCCTCCAAGTGCTCGAACCAAGGTATCTACCCAACAGTATCTGAAAGGGGAAAACATTTTCAAAAGGTGAGCTAGGCTCAGTGTGTCCCAACATTTCCATAAAATCACAATAGGTACAAATCATAGTCCAGAAATCTCACAAATTCGTAACAGAGTTTAACTTTTTGAAAATCATAGTTTAAACCCTTTTCTGGTACACCATCAGTAGTTCCCAAAATTATTTTCCATATAGCTTACTTTATGCACATAGCAAAAAGAAAGCCGACTTAAGGATAGGCTCTGAAGCTTGTATCCTTAAGCCCAAGTCAATAAGTCCATATAGCTTACCCTAAGCACACAGCAAAGGAAAGCCGACCTAATGAAACATCTTGGGGCCCTCAAGAGTCACATTAGGCCCAATTAGCTTGATCAGAGCTATTCCATCGTATTTCAATTCCAAAATTCAATTGCACCGTGACATAAATTCCATAAATCCAAAAACATGGTAATCATATACCATTTCAAAACAAAAATTAGATAGCAGCCATATTCCATAAATTGTCACATTAAATTGGTGCATCCATAAAACAATAGCCAATGAATTCGGTGTACCACATATTAAAACCAATAAAACAGTTCAATAATAAGTAGGGAACACACCTCGACAATAGATTCAAATAACAAATCTACTGATTGCTGGTTTCACCACGCTCTGCTACAGTTTTCGAACGGGTAAATACTGGCACACGTGGTTTAACTGATCTAGAAGAGCTGGGTCGAGCTGTCGAACGATCCGGAGAGTCTCTTGTACCTTCAAACAATAATATTTATCAGTCTCAAATCCTATTTAATTGTTCAAAGCTAAACTTCTTAAGTATATACGCATTTTTCGGGTTTGACTATCAATTTGAGGTATTTCGAGTCTGAATTTGGCCAAACGGATTACGGAATCGGAATCAGGACGTCGAAAAACATAAAGTATGACTTTTGAAAATTCAAATTCTTGGTCAAAGTCAAAGTCAACCACTTTGACCGTAGATTTGGAGACCTTCGGATTCGAATTTGACAAAACAGACCACGGAAACGGATTCGGCACGTCGAAAACTATCAGGATAGGTATACTCGGAAAAGATTAACGGTCGTTTAATGCTCGGTCAAAGCCATTTTAAGTTTTGGTCAAAGAAAGTCAACGGTCAACGGTCAACGGTCAACGGTCAACGGTCGGGTCGGGTCGGGTCAACGGTCGGGTCGGGTCGGGTAAACGGTCGGGTCGGGTCAGACCGGTCAAACCGAGTCAGACCGGTCAAACCGGTTCGAACCGGTTGAAACCGGTCAAACCGGTCAGAACCGGTTGAAAACCGGTTAAACCGGTTTCCAGCAGCCACTCGCCCTGCGGCGGCGCGTGTGGCGCGTGAGGCGTCCTCCGGGGCCCTAAAAATCCCGGAAAAATTTCTAAAAATTATTTTGAGCGATTTCAAGATACTTACAACGATCGGTTCAAATTTTTGAACGGCGGAGAGCTCGATTTCAAATCGGCCGAATCTTTGACTGCACCACCTCCTCACGCGCCGCCGTCTACGGCGGACAAGGTTGACACCGGTGAACTCGGAACGGCACAAGGAACACGATGGTGCGGGAGGTGTCGTAAACGGAGCAACGATCAGCGGTGAATTTAAGATTTCCTCGGCGATAGAGCTAACAAAACCGTCGCTACTTTGACTGGAAATTCCCGACGTTTGGCCGCGTTTCGCTTCAATTAATTTGAAGGGTTTGTTCCTCGCTCGATGATGAACACAACGGTGGGTTTAAAACGATGATCGGAATTTGGACGGCGTCGGAATCGGAGTTGGAAACTGCGTATGGGAAAGGAAAATTGGAAGCCTTTTGGTTCTGAAAATCAGAACCATATGCACGCTTATAATCAAAGCTGCCGACAGTTTTAGGGTAAATTCAAGGCTTGGTCCTTGGATTTTCTTCACTTCTAAAATGGCCTATAAACTCTCATAAATTTTGATTTAGTCACCAACAATTTACCAATTTTCACAATTAACCTCTAAAATTTCAATTAAATATTATTTTGAAAATCGGGTTGTTACACTGAATCTGAAACCTCAAGTGATAACAACAATCAAACTATTAAAATCGCTTGGTTCGTGATCCACTTTCATAACTTTATTTTTCTTTGAACTCAATTTTTAAAAGGAATAAACCTTGATTTTGTCTATGTACGAGTCGGTATGTTGTGTAAAGACTCTTACAACTGAAACTACACAAACCAATTCGATTCAGACTCCAAATTAACCACGGCTGTCACTAACTCAATGTAAATTCCAATTAAAATTTAAAGTTATTTTCAGCACAAAAACGGCTCAAATGCTTTTAGCCTAAAATAAGAAGAAAAATCATATATACCCTAGAAGGTCCCCCAACCCCTTTTATGCAGAACAGTAAAATGAGAGGAAAATCAGACAGCATATCGGTATGTGTCGTATGTGTCAGCAGTCACACTTTGTCGAGTGATCTTCACAACTTGTCCACGCCTCATACCGTAATATTTAGCAACCGGATCACTGACCAGAATACGGGGTAGCTGAAGTTCAAAAGAGCAACAAGAAAATCAGGAGAAATAACTCGAGACAAACAATAAAGAGAAACTAATCTTCATGACTGATACTGGTATTATGTCCTATCATGTTAATGTAACCGGACTTTGCGAAAGTCAGCTTACAAGGAACTTAATAAGGCAAAGATGAAACAAGGCAGAGAAGCATGGGACGACAGAGCATGTGCCTGTTAATCATGCATCCACTTCACAAGTCCTTTTAATATTCTTTCATATGAAACAATTTGCATACTATCAGAGAATAAGCTATAAACTTAACAGGTGATCGTTCATGCATATGCTGTTTTTGTGTCTAAATTTTTAATCACAACAAAAGCACCACTTCAAAAACCTTTTCACTGGTATCTTGCTATTATCATGAACATGATTGTTTCAAACTATATAAATTTGTTGCTACTTGCTAAAACAAAATATATCCACAGAACCATTTTCTTAACTAAACAGAAACCACTTCAAAAAACCATGCTCAGTGTTCTTTCCCTATAATCAAAATATTATTGATCTTGAAAAAACCAATACACCTATATGTTCACAAAAAATTGCAAAATTATGTTTACTAAATTAAATGCCGTAAAGATTATGATAAAAAAAACTGTACACAACTCGAAATATCGATTATATATAAATAAACAAGCAGCAGACCTTAAAACTTTACTGTAAATTATTCACCAGAATAATGGTAAAAATAAAACCAACTTAGACGGACTTGTGAGGATTGTAAAGGATCAAATTAGAAGTCAGGTAGAGAATGTATCAAAATACTAGATGCCCGAAGAAATTGAATTCAGTTAGATGTAGCTACACATTGAGAACAGAATCTTATCTTTTTGTTATTCTTAGTTTACAAGGTTTTCCCCTGAATTTCAAATTTCACCTTTAGAGAAGGTATATAATTTAGGTAAACTTGGTTTCAGGGACTTTCTTAGAATGTAAATTATTTTCTTTGAATCAAGTTAGATATTTATAATTATGATATATCTCCTATTGCTTAAAATTAGGAATCCCTATTCCCCAGAAAATACGGTATGCTATGGTGTTCTCTCTCACTACTACCTAAATAACTTCCATAATTAGGAGCTTTGGTTAATTACATCATATTCTTTGCACTAAATGATCTTTAATAACTTAAGTAAGATTAAAGCAATTAAAAGTCACTTGAAGAATATCATTAATCCCATAAGTTCCATCTTAAAGCTCAAAACTCCAAGTTCTAGAATGCAAGTTCATCTGATCAGAAAAGTAAAGATTGCACCCATCTCAAGTTTTACTCTCCTCTTTTGTTTTGTTCAATTCTTTCTTTTCTTTTCTCCCTTTTTGCCTATTTTCTCAGATGGAGGAAGCATATGTCAGAAATTGTTTGTATCTCAATTATTATTTATCAACTTACTGCAGAAATAACAAAACTAAACCAGTTTATCAAATCACTGACCAAAGAAAGAGACAAATATGGTGTTAGCAAAACAATCACTAACCTGTGTTTCCTTTACCCTGTATTTTTGCAGCAATTCCTTTTTTTCATGATCTTTCAGTACTGTGTGCTTTGGGACAAACATATGTTCTGTGATATTGGTCAGCAACTCTGCCTCCTGCATTGACATTACATAACTTAGTCATGCTTGACAGCTCTTGCAAAGATTATAGAAAAAACAACTAAAATTGTTCAGAAAGCAGTTTTGTCCCCCAATTTTTTTAAAAATATTTTTTAAATTTAATATAGAAAATATTAAAAAAATTTGATACCAATTTAAAAGAATATCGATACCACTTTAAAAGGAGAATTACGCATTAACTTATCTAAATTTTGACACCCCAATCTAAATTTTCAATCTTCGCTACTGGTTTTGTCCCCCATAATTATTTGTGTAGTTATGAAAACCGTCTTACAATTTATAGGAAATGTTTCACAAACAAAATTTATAAATGAAATGGCCTATGCTATGGATGTGTGCTTCGATATGAAATATCAAAGACTTCATAGACACTTAAAACTTAGCGATAGTTATTCTATTTGTGATTTTGCTTTAGTAAATTCTTATACTCGAGTACTGCAAGTCCTTTGTGAATTAACCAGTACTTATCATGGTGTACTACTTGTTTTAATTGTCACCTGGAACCAAAAAAAAATAATAAGAATCAGACAACTTACTGACTTAAATCAAGAAAAAATAGAAGAAAATAACATAACCATGAATAATAAGGGTAACAACTTTTAGGGCAAGTATTAAGCTTTCCACTGAAACCTTCTAGAGGCCTCTCACATGGAGTGTAATATTTTGGTTCATATTTTAAATTCACTTGCATCACGCTACTGTCCTTATAGCAATCATAATATAGCTATGAAGCTGTGCCCTAACAGAAAACATGAACATATCATTCCAATTGTTGAGAAAAATACATCTCAACATAATACTACAGCACAGAGTTAAGCAAATAGTTTGTACACTTTCAAAGGGCATTGACTAGTTGCAAACAAACATATACTTTACTATGATGAATCAATCACTTTCAAGGGATTTTTCAACACTCTGAAACATTCTAGCAGTTCTTTTAGAGAAATAGATTTCAGTCCAGATTTCAGACCTAGTACCATTTTTGTTCCTAGACTTGCAGAGAAATGAAAAATAATATTTACTTTAGGGATCAGCCAACCTCTTAAGCAGAATAGCTTTCTGTAAACTTTGACTTTGACAACTTTTGTTAATATATTTCTTCTACTACTTAGAGATGGATCATAATCAAGAGATTCAATCATTACGATTCAACGGACGGTTTATATGTAACCAAACAAAAACAATGCATATAATTTTAATAAGCTAAGCAATTCTCACGAAGACCCCAAAAAAATATATTCACCTCAAAAACTTCCATGTGAAAGTATGAATTAATTTCAACTATCGCTGCTTTTGCAGGGGCTGTCAAAGCTCTTTGAACAACCAAAATTGCATTATAAACATTATCTGCTTTCATTCGCTTTGCACAGTTTCTCACTATAGGAACACCAACCTTTTCTTCTGTAAAAAAGAAGACATACATCTACAGACAGATAAACCATCAGTACATCAATATTAAAGTTATAAAAATATTATTGTAACAAAATAAGGAAAGGGCGTTAACTTAATTTTTTAATGTTAGACTCAGAAGTAATGGTCCTTTTTCACTTGATTGATTCGGATGCTTCAAAATAAAACTTAACACCATGTGACAAAGAGAACAAACACCCTCTTTGTATACCAAGAATAATGAAAATGCAAGACAGAAACTTTGGCAAAGTAAATGATTATGCGATCTTTACAACAAGAGAGTGCAAACCCATGCAGACTGTTTTAAAGATTCTAAATATTTCACAAACTGATGATTCTAAAATAACTCAAAGATTACTATTTAATATGCTAGATAAAATTAGACAAGCACAAAAAATATGCGCTGTTTATTGCAGAAATCGATACAGCAAAGTAAATTTTTAATAGAGGGTAAACAACTAAATAAATTCGTCCTAGAACTCAGCTGTAGATGCAACAAAGTACTTTAGTGAACAGTAACTCTATCAGAAACTACAGCAAATTGTCTTCCCCTATCTAAAATTGGTTTGAGTGGTAAGAACAATGGCATCCTTAGATTCTCAATCAATTGTGACAAATATACTTGCCACTTTATTTCCATTCTCCATCATCTATCGAAAGACATTCTAAATCTCAAAATATGTGAAAGCAATTTTTTTCAGCTTATCAGCCTGGTTCAAATTTAGAGTCTGGAGATTCCCAATTGCCAAGATATAGAGTGAAGTTTCCCTAGTAAACTCCTAGTGAAGCAACTATAAATTTACAAACCATAAGGTCATAATCATGCAATGTCAAGAATGAAGGGAAATATTTCTACCATCAACAAAGTGTTGATGTTCCTAATACTTTTTCAAATATTTCATTTACATTCTAAAATGAAGCAACCAGTTTCAAATAGGAAGCTTTCAATTATAAATGTAAAAAATATGTTTTTACAAGTATATCAGGTTTAAGACACATGAGAGCAGTGGTAAGAAAGAGTACATATCTCAGAAGAGAAATAACAAGAAGCAACAATCAATGATTTAAGGCAACGGTGGCTTGTATGAATTCATCACATCAATGATTAACCGCATGATTCCAGCCATGCTAAAAAATCAAAGCTAACAAAATCCTCAATTTTCCAATTAATGGTTTCAAAGAAGTCATTCATTTAGGAAACCGGACTTCCCACAAAAAAAAACAAAGCTAGGCAACATTATCCCAGATAAAACTTTAATTCCGTAGGCATAAAGTCTAAGAACTCCAATAAGCATAAATAAATGAATAAAGAAGGGGCAGGAAGATATGTACCTGATCAGTTGGAGCATCCCCTTTGTTGCAAAGGATTAAAAGATCCTCCCTTTTGAGATGGATATTCTCACCAAATTTCTCAACGAATTGTTGTCTTGTCATGTTAATATCCGAATCAGAGACAGAATATCCCCTATCCCTCAGCATTTGCATGACTGTTCTTCGTGCTTTGAATACCTTCGTGATTTGTTCGTCAGAAACCGACATCTGTTTCACCAACCCCACCAAACAAACAAACAAACAAAATCATGTAATTCTACTTCCTTCAAAAGGGTTTCAAACAATGGCAGCAGCGTATCATGGCTGCCATTTTGCATAACTTTACTAGTAGGACTATAAATGTTACGAGACATATCGCGAGCTATTCAAGATCGATTCGGTCAAATCTCAATCAACTATCAAATCAAATGAACTCAATTCCAGCTCGAAGTCTACTCGAATTCTTAACGAACTGAAGCAAGATAATTGATACCCAACTAGAAAAGTTCGTGAGCAACTCGAAAGAATAATATATTAAAATTTTAGATTTTAAACTAAATTATTAATAATATTAACATTTATATGTTCTTTTTTTAAGAAATAAAATATAAAATCATCATGTATCCAAGGTTCAAGTTTGAGCTCAAGTTTGTTTTTCAATGGAACTAAGTCTAAGAATATTTTGAATTCAAATTTTTTTAAGCTCGGCTCGAGCTTTAATTAATTTCTGATTTCCATTAGATCTTGAAAACTGTAACCTCTCGCCAAGCTTGATAATTTTAAGCTAGTGAATTTTTTGAATCGAAAACAATTTTAAACTTTTCAAATCAAATCAAACTCAACGATACTCGAACTCAATAGTGGAGAATTGCAGCCGTAAATAGCAGTGGAAGGGAATAGTGGTTATAATGGTCTGCAATTTCGACAAAACCGTTACTTAAAAATCTGTTTCTTAGCATAGTAAAGATAAGAGTGTGAGATGAGGCAGAGTAACAAGCACTCAAGCAGAAGGATCCAAAACGGAAATTCAAATATAGCAGAGTGATGCAGACCCAGTACAATATAATACAAACCGAGGCATAACTAAAAAAGGAGGGGAAAACTCTCACGGTTTGAAAATTTACCTTACTTAATTTACTGGTCTTAGGTTTGTTCCGTCGGAAACTTGAAGGCAAGAGAAAGCTTGAGTCAGAGACCGGAGGAGGAGGAGGAGGAGGAGGCAGGGTATTGTGGTGAAAGGTTTGCTTGGCGGCTGGGGTGTGCGAAGATTGATCAGTGAGGGTTTCATATGAAAATTTTATAGATAAATTACATGTATTTAAACTGTTATTTTTAACTTATTTTGATATTTAAATTTTATTTTATTTTTAAATTATACCTTATTTTAATTTTTATTTTTCATAAAATAATATCATATAATATAATAAAAACAATTTGATGATCAATCAAAACATGCATCGTTATATCACCTCTTAAAATCTGAATAAATGAAATTTAATATAAAAATAAAATAAAAAATATAACAAATATACTCTTTTCCCACCTCCTCCGTAGCACTACCTTCTTTTTCCCCCAGTCCAACACCCTTCTTTCCCCTTAAACCTCACCCATGTTAAACCCTTCTTTCCCCTCAAACAACCTCAGCCATGTTACTGCTTCTCCATTGTCACCGTGTTTTCCATCGTATCTGCGATTGAAGTCATTTATGACAGTCTTTGTCGCCGTTCCCAAAGGTTTATTTCTCATTAAATCTATCTCCAACAACAAAACCAGATTCAAAACTAACCAAAGGATAGTTTCAGGTCTCATGGAACATGGCATCCAGTTGAGGTGATTTGTTGTCTAATATCCTCCTTTTAATGTATGATCTTGAATGACAACTATTTGAAAATAACCCATATTTTCTTTTACAGCTCAAACATGTCCAATATTAGTAGTAACGATCTAGAGATCAAAGTCGATGACAGAGGAGTCGATATCAATCGAACACAGAGACTCTGCCATGAGATGGCTTCAGCCACAAAGACGACAGGAAACACAGTGGCATTGGAGAAGCACAAGCATGATTGAGTTTGTTCAACCTGGAAAGATAGGTGTTGGGGTTGGGGAAAGTAGTGCTACGGTAGAGGTGTGGAAAAGGGTATATTTATCCTATCATTTATTTATTTTATTAAATTTCATTTATTCAGATAATAAAAAATAAAATTAAAGGGTGACACGTATTTTTTATTGGTCACCAATTTTTTATTTTAATGGAGTTAACGAATTAGTGTAAACGGGATAACGATTAAATTTCAAGAGGCAAAACGTCTAGAAAAATATTTTAGGGTACAATTTGATACAAATAGTATACTTTTTGAGGCAACTATGCATTTAAAGCAAAGATAATCTCATAAAATCTTAGGATAAATTATACGAATGATCTCTTATATTTTTGATCTCGTCGATTTTGATCATTGATTTAAAAAGAAAAAATAGTTTTAATCTTTTACGTAGAAATTAAAAAAATAAAAAAATTCTTATCTAAACATATTTCTTCTTCTTCTCTTGATGTCTTGGTTCGAATCTGCTGTTTTGGATCCGAAACCGCTCGGACTTATGGAGGCAAAGCTGGTTTGGGAACCGAAAACCAGTGTAGCTAACTCCCTAGCAATCTTCTGCTTGGCTTCATTGTCGGATCCTAAGAAGAACAGCCAAGTTTCTTCTTTGAGCTCTCTTTAGGTGACTACTTGGATTAAAAAATGAGTGGCCAGCTTAGATCAAGAGCTTCCCTCAGCATTGCATTTCTTGTAATGCGAAGGATAAATATATACCTCATTATGATCATGGGAAGGATTTGTTCTGGTTTCTTCCTTGTAGCATTGCAGCCATGAAGGCAAACTTGAACAGGAAGAGACGACGTTGTCAAAATTGAACAGTAGGTTACAGTTGGTTCTTGATGGAGCCTCGGCATTGGTGAGCCTGAGCGCTGGCATTGGAGAGGGAAAGATGATGGTGATGATGAGGACCTTATAAAGGGCTAGAAGTGGATGCAGGGAGGCGATTGAGTGCGACATTGAAGCAAACCTTAAAATGAAGTGGATGGGAGTGAGATTGAAGAGAAGAGAAGCTCTTCGAAGAAGACGCTAGCATGGGCATGGCACTCGCTACGTGAAGAGGAGTGACTTGTGCATGGCCTCGCCGTCGAGCGAGGCCGACTGCTTTGCTTGCTTCATCATGTTAGCACCCTCAGCTGTTAAAGCTCGCTGGGTTTCATCTAGATATCAAGAAAACCAAAGAATTGATCAATTATCAGCTATCAAACCAAGGCAGCTGCCACCAAACTTCACCTGTCAATTAGGACTAAAAAGAAGAAGTCACGCACGTGGATTTTTTTTCCATTGTTACGTAACATTTATGTTGAAGATCAAGGGGTCAACGTTGAGACACTAAAATCAAACTAGCCGATAATATACGTAAAGTATCAAAAGCACTCTTTTTTTTACCGGTGATCAGAATCGGTTAAACCGAAAAGATAAAGACAATCAGTATAATTTACTCAAAATTTTAAGAAATGTAAAAATAAATTATCAATAAAAAATACAATATATAAGATCACCATCCCCTATCCCTTTTGATTCATCCCTAACAGTTGCGGAATTTGGTGGTGGAGTTTAGGGTTAATTTAAATTTTTAAAATAATTTGGAGGTTTAAATTTAAATTTTTTAATGGTTTTAGTTTATATTTTTTTTAAAAAAATTAGAGTCTAACTAAAATTTTTGAAATTTTGAAAAGTTTAATATGAAGTTTTAAAATTTATGGAAGGAATTTAATGAAGAAAATTCAAATATTTTAAAATTTAATCTGAATTTTTAAAAAACTTAAAGTAACTAAATTAAATTTTTAAATATTTTAAAAATCCAAATTATAATTTTTTAAAATTTTGGGACCATGAACCCACTAATCTCTCTTGAGTTACGCCACTGATCCCTAACACCTTATAATTAGGATTGAACAACGAAACCGAAAAATCGACACGAATCGAGTAAAACGGTTCGGTTCGATTTGATTTGGTATTATACGGTTTGGTTTTCGGTTCGGTTTAAAGTCTCAATTCTTTTGATTCGGTTCGGGTTTTTCATATGGAACTCATTTGTTCTATATTGAACCGAATAGACAATTTTTTTAAAAAAAATTATAGTTTCAAGTGATTTTTTCATGAAAAAACGATAAACCGAACCGAAAAACCAGAACCGTTAAAAAGACAGAACCGAACCGAAAAAACCGGGTTAAAAAAACCGAACCGAACCGAATACCCCTACTTATAATACAGTAATGTCCTTTTCAAACAACGCTAAAATTTTATCAAATTTAGATCCAAAATTGAAACTTGTTTTAATATTAGAATTAAGTTATTATTCACGTTAAATTTAAGTATTTTTCCATCGGAATTAATTGAATTTAAATAATAGGTTTAAGTCTTCGAATTTAAATCCATTATCAACAGAAATAAACTAGATAACATCCAAATTTAAGTCCATAAAAAACAAATCATATCCACGGTACAGTAAAATATTTGTATAAATCCCACACAAACGAGAAATAAAAAGGAAAAAAAATAAGGTTTAATTTTGAATATTAAAGATAATTATATTTTTTATATTTCAAATTAGAATAATATTTATTTAATTTGAATAATAAAAAATAATATATATGTTTAATATTTTAAATTTAAAAGATATTATTATATGTTTAAATTTAGATATTAAAATAGATTTAATTATTAAAACTCTCTTAAATATCCTCTATCTCAACAAACGTATTAGGATTTTTATATCTCATAATTCAAGAAATTTTCTTTCTTTTAAAAAAATATTTTCTATCATTCTCACAAAGTTCAGCGATGGAGACAAGTCGCTCGAGAGAACATAGGAGTTCAGATGTTCGAGCTTCACCTAGTCGGAGTTCCCGTACCGTCTCTTTTAAGAGTCCTAGGTATCAGAGAGATGAACATGGTACGGAGAGAAAATGTTTTGGTGATGATTCTAGAAGTGGGAACCGGGGAGCAAGGAAGAGAAACTATTATGATGATAGAAGAGATACCCATGGTCGATATGGTGAAGATTATAGAAGAAGCCGAAGAAGATATGAAAGTTGGAGATGGGAATGGCAAGATTGGTTACCCTGGTAGTAGCACCCTTCTCCAGCTCCGATGTTTGTTGGGACTTCACCTGATGCTAGATTAGTTTCTCCATGGATGGGAGACCACACTCGTTCAACTGTTAGTGCCTCTCCTTGGGACTATTTATCTCCTCCGGTTCCAATACGAGCCTCTGGGGCATCTGCAAAATCTTCAAGTTCTAGATACGGTCGGGCACCCAACCGGCGTGGCTTTTCAAGGGAAAATTCTCAGTCATTTGAGGACGAAGCAGATAACAAGGGTTTGAAAGAAGAACACAATTACGAGATTACAGAAAGTATGCGCTTGGAGATGGAGTATAATTCAGACCGTGCATGGTACGATACAGAAAGCTTCATTCCAAAAGAAAGAGGCAGAGTTGGCCAAAAGACTGGTTCGAAGAGATCGGACTAAGATGTCCCTTGCTCAGAGCAAAAAGTTTTCTCGGCTTACTGCCGGTAATGCTCGATGGGAAGACCGACAGCTTTTAAGATCCGGAGCTGTTAGAGGTACAGAGGCGCAAACTGAGTTTGATGATGAAGACGAACGCAAAGTGATTCTTCTAGTACATGATACAAAAACTCCATTCTTGGATGGCAGAATTGTTTTCACGAAACAAGCAGAGTCAATCATGCCCATAAAAGATCCTACATCAGATATAGCCATAATTTCACGCAAAGGATCTAATTTGGTAAGGGAAGTTCATGAGAAGCAAAGCATGAGCTTGCAGGCTCTAAACTTGGTGATATCCTTAGAGTTGAGAAAACAGTACAACAGATTGATGCTGACACTGCTGAAGTAGGCGAACATGTTGAAGTTGATTTCAAAGAAGATGCCAAATTTTCACAGCATTTGAAGAAGAGGGAGGCTGTAAGTGAATTTGCAACGTCCAAAAGCATAGCCGAGCAGCGTCAATACTTCCCCATATATTCTGTTCAAGATGAATTGCTGCAGGTGATTAGAGAAAATCAAGCAGTTGTCGTTGTGGATGAAACTGGATCCGGGAAAACAACTCAACTTACACAGTATCTTCATGAAGATGGGTACACTATAAATGGTGTAGTTGGTTGTACCCAACCTAGGCTTGTTGCTGCCATGAGTGTTGCAAA